CCTAAATAAATATTAAAAAACAATAATTCTGAGTGATGGTGGACTTCCTCAAACACGTATCTGTTATATGTAAAACTCTTCAGCAGAAGTTTAAATTAGCTGCCAAGAGTATAAAATCTGACATATTGTTAAATATGAATATTTCGAAATAAAAGGGTGGCTGATGGGCTAGAAGTGATAGCGTTTTGATAGGCATCACGGTCCATTTAAAAATACGCGAACAAACTCTTAACATCTGAATTTTCACCAGGTCCCTAGCTGACACAATGAGCTTTTAGATACAACACCAAAAGCCTGATCCATGAAAGAAAAATTGGATAAGTGGACTTCATTAAAATTTTAAAACTTCTGCTCTGTGAAAGACACTAATAAGAGAATGAAAAGACAAGCCACAGAATGGGAGAAGATGTTTGCAAGACACATACCTGATAAAGAACTGTTATCTAAAATATATAGGGACTTCCCTGGGGGTCTAGTGGTAAAGAATCTGCCTTCCAATGCAGGGGGCGCGGGTTCGATCCGTGGTCAGGGAAGATCCCACATGCCGTGGAGCAACTGAGCCCGCACACCACAACTACTGAGCTCGCGTGCCTCGACTAGAGCCCACGTGGAGAAGCCCACGCACTGCAGCGAAAGAGCCCACGTGCCTCAACAAAGATCCCGCGTGCTGCAACTAAGACCCAACACAGCCAAAAATAAATAATAAATCTTTTAAAAAATATATGTATATAAAGCCTCCTCTCTGACACCTGAATTTTCACACAGCTCCTTCCCCCCTCACCGTATATTTCCATTCCACCCTATAGAATTTTGTCCTAACGTATTTAGATTCCCCTATCACACAGAACTATGTAAAAACGTTGGAATAACAATATTTTAAACATTCTCGCGTGCTCCAGTTTGTCGTCTGGATTGCGTTATCATCATAATTATCGGTGGTATGCAGCTGATACAAACCATGTGAATTTATTACACATTTTGAGAATTACTAAACATAAAAGGTAAATTTTTATTAGAAATATCTCTCCTAAAAAGAGGGATGGACAGATTTTGTGGAGTAGTTTGTGTATCCTTCCATACATATTACTTATTGCCAGGAAAAGACAAAGTTCCACATTAATCCCATTCCTGTCGTGGGTTTTTAATGTGAAAGTGTGAGAAACTCCAATCACACAAGTAAATAGATCAGGATCAGAGGCTGACCTGCCCTAGTGATACCACCGTGGCCTCCTTCCATCAGTTTTCTGCCCCGAACCCCGGGATGACCAGTCACAAGAGCGATTTTTAAGGACTGTCAGTTGCCAAGTCCATAGGCCTCCTTCAGTTTTGTGGCAAAGACTGGAAATGGCTCAAACTGCAAGAAACTGTGTTTGCTGCAGGTGGGGAGGCGGAGAGGCGGAGAGGAGGCGTTGTGGTAAGTGAGAGAGGGATGACTACGCAGAGGAAGCTGGGAAAAGGGGCTGCACCTGGGCCCAGGTGGGCGGCATCCTGCCCTGGCCATCAGCCACCTGTGTGGGCATCAGAGTCTGGGGCTTTGAGTCGACCACGAAGGCAGGGAAAGAAGCCTGAGCAGAGAGAGTCCTGGGCTCCAGTGTGAAGCCCCCACAGCCCTGGGGGCATCTCTTGGTTCCCCCCAGCCCCTCACACAAGACTGGTCCTCCCACCCCAATCCAGGGATGGCTCCTCCTGCAGAAGGGGAGGCCCACCCAGAGCCCCAGGCAGAGACACACTAGCAGGGCTGAGCGGGAGGTCCGTGAGGTCACCCTGTCCACCTGGCTTCAGGGCTGCAGAGTAAGACTGTGCAGGGAGTACACTGCCCCAGAGGACAGGCAGGGAAGGCAGGTGCGGCTGCATTGGGGGCAGAAGTGCCTTCCTTTGTCCTCACAAAGGCAGCTCTGCCTGTCACCAAGGGGCCCCGTCAACCAGCTCTGAAATACCTTCTTGGTGTGTCTACGGGGAAGCCTGCCTTCCTGGGCCTCTGGCCCCCCACCCACCCCTCACTCGCCCCTCTTCCTCCTCACCGGCTCAGCCACAACTTGGTGTAGGTCTCCATTCTAAACATCCCCGCGAGAGCTGCTCCAGGGTACCGCTCAGCCCTGGACCCTGCCCAGCCAGCCACAGTCCATCTGCAGGTTTAGAAAGTGGCTCGTTCTTGGCTCAGAAGTGGGCATGTGATCCCACTCCAGCCAGTGGGATGTGCGGAGAGGGGGTTCTGGAGAATTTTCTGGCTCCCACGTGCCTAGAGGAAGCTTCTGTGTCCTTGCTCCTGTTGCTACCCCACGGCCAGCACCCTGAGGATGACGCTGATGCAGGGCAGGGCGGGGGGAGATGGACGGAAAGGATGGGGGCCCCTCAGAGCATTGTTGAGCTGCTGAATCCCACCATGCTTCCTGAAACCCACCATGAAACCCACCCATGCTTATGGAACTGCTGGTTCAATAATACATTTCTTACTGTTCGAGCTGGTTTTAGCTGAGTCTGTTTCTTGCAACCGAAAGCATTCTGACTATATGCCTTCCTTTCCGGAGGCTCTTGATCGCAGCCATCTGAGGGCGGCTGCAGGTTATTATCACTCTTGACGCAGAGGGTCTCAAATTTAATATACATCAGAATCACCTGGAGCGATTGTGAAAATGAAGGCTCCTGGGATGGGGACCTGGCAAGTACTGAGGTACAGAATTTAACGGGCACCAAAGAAACCCTCAGTATACAAGATAAATCCCATTTTAACCCAATATTTTAAAATATTAGAATAAATGACAGAAATCCATATGAGCAAAGTATCAAAACTTTAAATAAAGACGGGATTGCCATTACTGATTTCTCCTTTGGGGTCGGGCTCCACAGCCGGGCTCTGCCTGGCTCCTTCCCCTGGCATTAGAAGGGCTGGGAGGCCCAGGAGCCTGCATTACACAGTCATCACTCTGCCCTTTCCTCCATGTGATTCTGGGGAGGGTAAGGCCGCCTTGTGGGAAACAGGACCCCAAATCATGACTCAGGTCACTCACAGGCAGCCTCCCCCTGGTGCTCAGGCCAGCCCTTCAGGTGGAGTCAGCCCGGCAGGTGGGCAGGCTGAACTTCCTACCTGGATTCTGGGAATGGGAAACAGCCTCTGGGAAATGCTTTGTTCTGGGGCAGGATGTGAACAAGTGGCCGGCACTGTCTTATTTGGTCCTCCCAGAGTTCGGTCAAGGCCAGAAGGCGGGGCAGTGGAGTGGAAGTGAGACCCGGAGGGAGGGAACCAGCAAAAGCCACCGTCCACCCAGGGCTGGAGAGGCGGGAGGACACGGATTTATGCAGTAGCTCCTGTCCCTTCCGGTGGGGCTGCTCCCGGGACCCTCGCTCCCCGCCTGCGTCCTCCCCTGCGGTGGCGGTGGTGCCGGGGGAACACAGGTGAGAGTAGCGGGGTCTGGTGGTCGCGAGCCAGCGGGTGCGCCCGGAAGTGGGGGCAACGGCATGTGGGCGCGGCATGGGAGTGGGAGGGGACTAGGGGCGTGGGTGGGGATTAAGAATATGGGCGGGGCTGGGAGTGGGCGGGCTGTGGGTGTGGGCGCGGCACGAGTAGGGACTGAGGATCTGGGCGGAGCACCAGGACTGCGGCCAGCTAGGCAGAGCCTGGACAGACGCCGCCAGGCTGGACTCCCTATCCCTCCGTGGGGCTCCCTCCACCTGGCCCAGGGCTCCTCAGAATCCTGGAGTCCTGGGACATGCCTCTGGGGGCTCCCAAGCCTTGACTCCAGGTCATTTGTTTTTACCTACACCGAAGCTTTGTCAGGAATCGGGATGACGGTCACGTTGTGAGAATTGTGAAGTCAAGTTCTCTGGGCAAAGCCGTTAAATATCCTGTGTGCAAAGCCAGGCTGCTAAAATCCCAGTTCCAGGCTGGGCCAAATGCAGCCCCGGCCAGGTGTTCTCAGAGGAGCTCTCCTGTGGCGGGGGAGCAGCCACCTGGCGTCCCACCTGCGCAGGGGCGGTGCTAGGTGCTTCAGACACGCTCTCATCCAAACCCCGGAACAACCCCGGGGCAGGTAATGATCCACCTTCCTATAGATGAGGAAACCCAGGCCCAGAGAGACCAAGAGCCCACAGAGGGTGGTGGCGCCGGGGGTCCCAGAGGTTCTCCCAGCACCCCAGCCCGGGCGCCTCTTGGCTGCACGGCGCTGCCAGCCCTACGCTGCTCGCTTCCGCCCTGTAATCTGGCCGGTCACACCCTGCCACCTCCTGGCCCACCCATCTACCAGCCTGTCCACGCCTTGGGTGACGGTCACAGGAAAGGAGGCCGCGGAAGGGCGGCCCATCTGCCTTCCAGATTGCAGGGAGGAACCAAGGCGGCGGCTCTCGAGGGCTGGGCGCTGCTGGGGGGCCCAGGAAGACTCAGATGTGGCTCAGGGCCCGGGGTGGCAGAGCTGCGGCAGTGGAGGCACAGTGCCCGTGGGGACCGGACATGGTCACAGCGGTAGTTTGCTCCCTGCACCCAGTTCTCTGAGGGATTCTCGGTGAAGTCAGGAAAGGAAGGTTTCCACAGACTTTCACTCACCTAAGTGCCCTAGACTCCAAGGCTGTGGGAAACACGGACCCTCACTGGTGATCACAGGACCGTGGGCTAAAAAGCCACATATGCTCCCCACCTGGAGAAATGGCCACACTTAAAAGTGAAGATGTCCAGTGTGGGTGAGGGTGCTGGTACACAGGCCGAGTGACATTTCCCCACGGGGCATTTCAGCAATAGTTGCTGAGAGCTGTAAACAGATCCAGCAATTCCTACACTCAGGTTTACCTACCAGAGGATGCTTCTTACATCCTTACGTGTTTCTTTCTTAAACACCACAGTGCAACAGTGAACGTCAGAAGTGGTACAAAGCCCAGCCCAAAGACGTAGCTGGGTGAACACTAAATACCTAAGGAAGGGACCGTGGGGGACCTCATGCTCTGTTGGCAGGTGGCGAGTAGAGGACGGGGGTGTGGAGGTGGGAGCAGGGGGTGTAGCAAAGGCCTGCAGCACCATATGTGAAAATTGCCACAAAGGAGTAGAGAATACAGACATACAGAGTAAAAATGGGCAAAGGATGTGCCCACGTAATAATTGCCTACACTTTCAGGGTTTTCCTGCAAAACTTCCCCTGAGCACTAGATCCATTTCCTAGGTTCTGGTGATAATAAAACGATAGTGGCGGTCACTGTAGTGGGGCATCCGCCCTGTGCTGGGGCGCCGCTGGTGTCACAGTCCACCTGCTGCCCCCTCTCAGCGCCTGTACCCAGGCCCACCCTCCACAGGGAACACCCCGGCCCTCCTGTGAGCTCACGAGGCGCCTGTCTTTCCGTCATTGCACATACAGCGTGTTTACCTGTGGTTTACCTGTTCCCTAGTCTCCCTCCCCCGGGGGCAGGGCATGTCTGTCTGTTCACCACCGAGTCCCCAGGGCCTCAGGTGGCCTACACCCTCAATGAGTATTTGTTGAGTGGCTGCATGACCTCATTTAAGCTTCATGCAACTCTCTGAGAGGTTTCATTATTCTCATTTTATTTTATCTTCACCTTCCTTTCTCTTATCTGCATGTTTGGATTTATCATTTTAGTCTTGCTTTCTTAAGTAAGGGAAGATAGCAGTTAGTTTTTAAAGTGCACTTGCAGTGCACGATCAGGGTAGCTGCTCTGGTGCCAGGCCTGTGGCTTCTCAGTCCCGGCTCCGGTCACAGGCTGCTCCCCGGCACCAGGGTGGCATCCGGCTCGGAAGCCTGGGGGCAGCACTGATTGGGCCCCGAGGAGGGCATGTGACCCGGCTGGGCCAATCACAATCCTTCCCTGGAATTTTTTGAACTGGACCAGAGAAGGGGAGCTTTCTTTTTGCTCTGCTCAGGAGGCGCCCCCAGAGCTGCTTGGGGCCGTCTGCTCTGAGAGGTGGAGAGGGCCTGCCCTGAGCATGTGGTGGCTGCACCAGGGTCCCTGAAGCCAGTCCCACCCTATCCTTCCTGGAGGCTGTTACTTGAACCAACACATCAGGGTCCTTCCTGAGCTCCAGGGCAGGGTTTCTATCACCTGCAAGCATAGTAGCCTGACTACATGCCCCGGCAACTCCACCGTGCACACGGGGAACTCGGCCTGGAGCAGCTGTGGGCAGCCGAGCTCTGTGCGTGAGAATGATGAGAAGAGCCTGCCTGCTGCGGCGCCACAACCAGGGCAGGCCCAGATGGACCATCCCAAGCCCACATGCATCTCCCACTCTGACGGGCCGTTTATTATCCCTGGAGCAGGGGCACCCCCAGGCCTTCTCCTGCAGGGGACCTGCAGAGCACCCGGCAAGACAGATCTGGTGCTGTCACTCCCGCCTGAGAAAAAGTCTGCCCCTCAGGTACATGCAGCTCCTCCTACCTGGAAACTCCTGCCCTAAGCCCCTCTCCACCTCAGGAATCTGTCAAGAGGCCTTTCCCATACTGCCCTCCCCGAACCTGGGGGAGATGCCCTCCTGCACCCTCGTCATGGCCCCATCACAGCTGCTCACGTGTCCCAGGAGGTAGGGGACCCCTTGATGCATGGCCATGGCTTCCTGCCCCCACCTGTCCTGGGGTACAAGTGTCCAGGACCCACACACAGGCTCTGCAGAGACTGATTTACTGTGTCTGCTCTAGAATGAGTGGCTGATGGAGGGCCATCCTCACCCACAAAGAAAAGCCCACCTGCTCCTCATTTGTGCCTCAAATATTCCTCGAACACCGTCCTCCCCACCCCCACCCCGCGCCCAGGGGCACTAAAAGAGGATGAGGCACCAGGCGGGGAAGGTGGGTCCTAGGGTCCCCCCACCAGGCTCCCTGGATCCCCTTTTGTCCTCCCTGTCCCTTAATGTGTCCACAGTGTGGCCGGGGGCACCCTCAGCATCCTCTCAGCCCATGACCCTCAACAGAGGGCACAGAGAAAGCCCTCGCTGCCTGGGAGGGGAGGCTGGGAGGCGGGACACACAGGTGAACAGACCTCGGAGCTCACCAGGCCGCCCAATAATTTCACAGACAGGGAAATGGACGGAGCCTCAGAGAGGGGGCCCTTCTCAGTTCTGGGACTGCGGGGGTCCTTTTCCTGCCAAGAGGCCTGGCTTGTTCGGGGGCAGGGAGCCCGCCCAGCAGGGGTGTGGCCGCTCGGGGCTGGTGTGGGAGCAGCTCTGAGGCTGGACGGAGGAAGAGCCAGGTCTGCCCTGGTGCCATGGGAGAGCTGTGCTCTCTTGACAGATACTAGGGGACATCGTCCCCTCCTCCCTGCCCTGCCTGGGCAGCCGTAAGACAAAGGTGGCCACGCCTGGTCCCCCAAAGTCAGCCCCGCCATCTTCTCTTGTGTAAGAGATGCAACCCCGGCTTGCACAGAAGACAAACCCATGCCAGAGGATGCGCCACTGCAGCCGCACTTCCGTGCGGGGCCACGCTAGCTGGGGGCTGATGAGCCGTCCAAGCAAGCATGCGGGGCGCTGACCGGTGCCCCCCAGTCCTTCCCAGACGCGCCACCCACAGCCCGCTCTTGACACCCCTGTTCAGCGTTGGCAGAGCTCCAGAAACGGCTGCCCTCCCACCCACACCCTCGTGTCTGGACATGGTAGGGTGACAGGGAGGGTGCTGAGGACGTGCGCAGGATCTGAACGCGGTGCTGTGTGAGGAACGCGGACGCTTGCGGTGGGGAGGACGATGGAGAAGGTGACAGTCACCTCCCGCCCGCGCAGGGCACTTCACCCAGATCCCCCATGGAATTCTCACGCCAGGCCCAGGTGGCTGTCCTCATCCAAGCCGAGGCCCAGAGAGGGGCGGTCACTCGCTGAGACCCACAGCGTGTAGGTGGTGGGGCTGGGTTTCCCCCAGGCTGCCTCACAGTCCAAACGATGGAATATGATTCGCCAGAAAGAGAAATGAGGTCTTAATTCGTGCTGCAATGTGGATGAGCCTTGAAAACATCACGCTGAGTAAGAGGCCAGACACAAAGGCTGCGTTTCACACGATCCCATTTGTGTGAACCAGCCAGAACTGGCAGGTCCAGGAGACAGGAAGAGACCAGGGCAGGGTGGGGTGTGACTGCTAAGGGGCACAGGGTTTCTTTTAGGAGAGATGAACGTGTTCTAAAATTAGGCAGTGATGACGGTTGCACAGCTCTGTGAACAGACTAAAAACCACTGAAATTGGACATGTTACATGAGTGAATTGTATGCTCTGTGAGTTATCTCAAGAAAGCTGTTTTAAAATCAAAGCAGACCCAGAACTGAGGCACCTTCTGAACAGCACGCACCGCCCCGGCTCCTAGGGACAAGGGGCCGGCGGAGGGCGGAGGGCAGGGGCCGAGGCCCCTCGGCCAGGCCGCCGTGGGTCTGGAGGCTCGGGGAAGGCAGGTCAGTGCGGCCGGGCTGTCCGGAGAGGCAGGCACGTAGGAGGAAGACCTAAAATAACTCTCAGGACCTGAAACTCCGGGCAGAAGTTGAGGGTGGTGTGGTCACGGCGAATGGGGAACTGATCTGCTCGCGGAGGGAAAGGAGAAGTTTTATTTGGGGGACGTCAGGGTGAGGCGGCGGAGGTGGCGAAGAAAGGATTCTGACGTGGAGACACTCCTGTTTCCAGTGCCCTTAGGCATCACGCACTTTGGTGGAAGGAGCCCGCGAGAGGAGAGGGAGAAGTTCCGTCCCCAGATCAGAGACCAAGGCCTGGGGCAGGCGGAGAGCCCAGCGCGGGGGTGTCCCATCGCCCGCTGCTGCCCTTGGAGGGGCCCTGCAGACCCCCGGGCCCACTGGGCTCCTCTCTGAGCCCCACCACCCCCGGCCCCGCCAGGTGCTCATTTGTGAGCTGAGAGCTGCTCCCGGCAGCACCCAGGGCTGGGGACACGAGGTCCTCCTGGCGTCTGAGTTCCAGCAGGCCCTGGAGGACCAGGGCACGAGGGGGGCCCACCCTTCCCCATTGATAAAGGGGGTGGGGAGAGGCTCTGTGCAGGGCGTCAAGGGCACACAGGAGGTGCTGTGACCACTGACGGGCTCTGAGGGGTACGGCCGCCTCCCCTTTGGGGCAGCGGGCTCAGAGCCACCCTGGCCGTTGACGTGGGTTTGTGCGGAGGGGCCTGAGGGGAGCCTCGTGGGCTGGGGCAGTCCCCTGGGCGGGGGTCGTCATGGGACGGCAGCCCCCAGCTCCAGGGGCCCGGAGGTCTCGAAGGGAAGGTGAGGACAGAGGCAGGAGGAGCGTGGACATGCTGCCCCTGTCTAGCTCAGGCACAGGAGAGATGCTCTGGAAGTCGGTGGACACGAGGCTGTGACCGGCAGAGGCCAGGACGGGGAGCAAGACGGAGGGAAACTGAGAGCAGGAGAGGGGAATAGGGGAGAAGGGTCCCAGGGATGTTCGGAGTCTCCTCTTTCCTCCCAGCCGCTTGGAAAAGTGATGGAGAGAAAATGGGGAGAGGGAAACGCTGGTGTCCAGGACCCTGGTGGGGAAAGGCTGGATCTTTGTTTAAAAAGACCAGTCGAGGGACTTCCCTGGTGGTTCAATGGTTAAGACTTCGCCTTCCACTGCGGGGGGTACAGGTTTGATCCCTGGTCAGGGAGCTAGGATCCCACATGTTTTGTGGCCAAAAAACCAAAAAACATAAAACAGAAGCAATATTGTAACAAATTCAGTAAAGACTTTAAAAAATTAAAATAAAATAAAATAAAAAGACCAGTCAATTTCCCGCGAAGATGAGTCCCTTGGCCCCTCGGAGGGATAGATGCCTGCAGACATGAGAGCAGACCCTTCGGGTCCCCGTCCCAGCTCCCACCGCCTGAGCTCAGGAGGCCCTGCAGACAAGGCAGGAGAGCAGTGATTTCCCAGCCCGGGTTTTGGACAGTGCGGTCTCCCCCTCCTCCTCCAAGTTCAGCGGGGATGGCCACTTGTGAAATGGCCCCATGGGGCCGTGGCCGGGTGGATGGACCTTGGGCGCAGAGGTTTTTTGAAAACAGCAGAGAAGTTGTGAAATTAGAAGCCAGAAAGTCCTGGTTTGGGAAGGAGCTTCAGAAGTGGGGACCGGACCCCCCATCCTGGGCGTAACCAGAAGTCTGCCGACTGGGGCTTCTACAGAAGCCTTGCTTTCTTTATAAGAAGGGGCTGGTCCAGTTTTTGTCCTCTGCACCTTCTCTTTTCCTCTTTTTTCCTGCTCGGGAGGCAGATGTGACGCCTGGAAGTGACACAGCCACTTTGCAGCTAGGAAGCCACAAGTAAGAGGAGGTAGGATAGAAAGAGTAAACTAGCCTGTGTCCCGGACGGCTGACCAGCCTCCACGGCCTGCCTCTGAGTTTTTGTTACAAGGACAAAGACACACAAACCCTGTCCTACTGCTGTTAGGTTTTCTGCTATTTGCAGCTGAACACAATCCTTTTGGAGACAGGGTTCGAATCCTTCATGGATGGGGTTGCCAGATTTAGAAAACAAAAATACAGATGCTCGGTTAAATTTCAACTTCAGATAAGCAGTGAATAATTTTCCGCACGAGTGTGTCCCAGGCAGTATTTGGGACATACTTATACTAAAATATTGTTTATCTGAAATGTGAACTTTCATGGACGAAGTTACAGAACCCAGAGAGGTTGCACATCTTGTCCGAGGTCTCGTCCTGAGCAAGCGGTGGAGCACAGGCTGTGTCCTCCTTCTCCGGGGCCTCTAGGGCTTCCTAAACCCTGCCTTAATGATGCACAAAGGAGACTCAGAAGAGCCATGTGACTCACCGCCCAGGACAAAGCAATCGAGCTAAGAGTGGTCCAAAGACGAGAGTCGTGCAGAAAGCGACGGTCGGTGGTGGTGAAGCTTCTGCTCCAGTTGGATGCTGTCATGACATTTTAATTCCATTTGACAAAAGTACCAGCCGGGGATGGGGGACAGTAGCTCCCCATGGACGGTGTGCGACCACCGGCCAGGACTGGCCCCAGGAGCACCGTGCTGTGAAGGATGCTGAGGCCTCCTCTGCGCTCAGCAGAAAGGCACAGGTTCCCAGGACCCACGTGTCAGCGGTGGCATTCGCTGGGTCCCGAGGAGCGTCGTTACTCTCAGCGTCTCCTTTGGTCCTGGGGGCGCTTGGCACCCCCCAGTGCGGGCGTCCGCAGAGCCTGATGTTACAACAGGAAGCACGGCCCCTGCCCCAGCCCCTGGCAAGCCCGAATCTGCGTCCATCCCTGTGGAGTGGCCTCTCGTGGACCTTTCGTGTGAGTGGCGTCGTATAATACACGGCCTTTTGGGTCCCGCCTCTTTCAGTGAGTATGTTTCCAGGGTTCATCCAAGCTTCTAGCCACTCAGCCATTCTCCAGATTCTCTCTCTCAGCTGACGTTTCCCAGCACCTGATGTGCCATGCTCTGTTCTGGGGGGGGGAATGACCAGGAGAACCACAGACCCTGGAGAGAACAGCCTCCTGATAATCCAGAAAGTAGAGCTCGGGCCCCATGGGCAGGGAGCCGGCAGGAGGTGAGGCGGGGGCGGCAGCAGGACTGGGGTCGAGGCCTGGCCCCCGCACAGAGGTTGGAGGGGTCCCCATCTCTCACCGTGAGGGGGGCAGTTGGCTTGCAGCAGTACCTGCAGAAAGAAGAGGGGTTCTGTCTTCCAACGAAAGAGAACCAAGAGCCTTCCGGCCCCCCAAGCCCTGGCCAGTGCGGCGGGCAGGCTGCTCTGGTCTGTGGCCAGGGTCTTCCTAACGGGCATGTGCCAAGACTCTCCAGGTAGCTGGGCAAGAGAGCTTGAAGGAATCCTGGGGTCCTCAACTTCCGGATTGTTCCAGCAGGAAACGAGGCCTGTGGTCTGCCCGTTCTTCCCTCCTCTCCTTTCCTGACCCTCCTTCTCTCCTGCAGGCTGAACCCATCTCAGTGCTTTGCCTCAGGGTATAAAGACCCAGTGAGTCTCCGGGCCTCCCCTGCCTTCGTCTGATGGAAACACCTGTCCCAAATGAGTGACAAGGCAGAGGGCCACCCGTGTCCTCATGTCCAGCCAGGCTGCCAAGGTCAGTGGGCCTCCTGGAACATGCCTGGGTGTCTTTCTATTGATGCTGATTGGGTCCCAGACGCTGTAAGTTAGGTGTTAACTTGCAGGAAACAGACAAGTTGCAGACCGTTTCTGCTCAGTAGAGAAGGCTATGCTTCATGACTGTGTTTAGGGGTCTTGGGGCGGCGTTCTCTCTTTTTGGGTTGGAAAATTGCTGTGTCCTCCCTTGAGTCGCCTTTGCCACCTGGCTGGCTACCTCAGCAATGGGGGAGACATGTCTCTGACACGTGCTTGCTACACTTTCATAGAAGAATCATGTTTATAGCTTTTTGAGAGGTTTGCTTTAACTTACCTTCCTGCCTTCCTGCTTTCTTTCTTTTCTCCCTGTCCATCTATTCATCCACCCACCCACACCCATCCATCTGCCATCCATCCATTTACACCAGAAGTGGAATTCCAAAGTGAGAGAGTTGAGTCATTAATAACATGCTTATTTGAATTAAAGCTGACAGTGTCAGTCTGGGTCCTGACAATTTGGTTTTGTGGCAACATTTCCACTAGTCAAGGTACTAAACCTGCGGCCTCAGGGTTGCCATGAAAATAGGTCCCAAGCACGTGTGCCACATAAAATATACGATACGCTGGACCAGTTGACCTTTGACTGTTGAAACCACAATGTCCAGATGTTTTGAACTGGCCCATCACCACCATCACCCACAGTCCTATGTCCCCCATTGGTTTAGAAGGATATTTGTGAACCCATATACAGGCCCCTTTGTCCCTGTCCATTAAAGTAAAAGGCTTTTGCTTTACTTTCCCAGGCCTGCCCAAGCCTCAAAAGCCTGGCTCAAGAGTGAATGATTACAGGGACTTCCTTGGCAGAGCAGTGGTTAAGAATCTGCCCGTCAATGCGGGGGACACGGGTTCGATCCCTGGTCTGGGAGGATCCCATGTGCTGTGGAGCAACTAAGCCTGTGCGCCACGGCTGCTGAGCCTGCGCTCTAGAGCCCGTGAGCACAACTACTGAAGCCCACGCACCTGGAGACCGTGCTCCGCAACAAGAGAAACCGCCATGAGAAGCCCGCGCACCACAACGAAGAGTAGCGCCTGCCCGCCTCAACTAGAGAAAGCCCGTGCGCAGCAACGAAGACTCAACGCAGCCATAAATAAATAAATAAATTAATTAATTTAAAAAAAGAGTGAATGATTACAAAATGTGAAGATGTAGAAACAAAGAATACTTGTTGGGCAGGAAATTGGTTATAGTTTAGACTCTAAACCAGCCACAGAGCAGAATCACTGAACTCCCAGTCCCCTGAAGGATCTGGATAACGGCCTGATGCACATTCCTAAGTTGTTTTTACAGGAAGCCGACCCCCACGAGGTGAAAACTGATGACCACAAGCACGTAGACCCCAGACCGGTTGAAACCAGAAGGTTGGTGATGCTCGAAATTTCACCTTGATGCCAACCAATACAAGAATTGTGCATTAGCTACTCAGACACCCTGCATCCCCCTCCCTCACACGACCTTTAAAACCCCTTCCCTGAAAGTCATGGGGGGGTTCGGGTCTTTTGAACACGAGCTGCCCATTCTCCTTGCTTGGCACCTGTAATAAACGCTGTACTTTCCTTCATCACAGCACAGTATCAGATCAGCTCTGCTGCGCACGGGCAAGCAGACCCAGGTTCAGTTCAGTAACGTTTGCAGCATGATGCCCACCCGGGGCTCAAGGCCTGTTTCCTACCGAGCAGGCAGGGTGCCTGCAGGGTGGGGAGTCTGGGAAACTGGCGTGTGCCTCTGTGCACTGCTCACTCCGAATGTCTCACGGGGGGTGTTAAGGTTAGCCTTTCTTGTGGCCAGCTAACTGTCACCTTCCAAAACTTCTCTAGTGGCCCCGGGCCCCTGTTATCCACCAAAAAGCAGCAGCCCAGGGTCAGGTGTGACTGAGCCCAGTAAGGCCGCTTTGTAAGAAATATCACCTTAAAGGGGGTTTGATTTTTCAAAAAAATTTTAGGGGACATGCCAGCCAAAAGTAATAAAAATCCCCTGAGCCACCGGCTTGGAGGGTAGGCCCTGGCATCCAGCACATGGCAGGCCCGTTTCCCACCAGCCACGGTGTCGGGGCTGCAGGAGCTCTCCCTCCAGGGAGCAGGGAGAGCTCGGTGACACGCCACTATTATTACGGCAGCCCCCGCCAGGCCCCCACTGCCCCCCTGGGCCCCGATCCAGCTGCTCTGACCCCGTCCTGCCTGCACCAGCCCAGCTGCCCACCCTCTGCAGCCAGTGCCACCTGTCACATGTTCCTGGCTTCGCTGAGGGGTGGACGGGGATGCGCGCTCAGCAGCTCAGTCTCCTGACCCCTCCAGGACAGGCCGGGGCCCCCTCTGTGCAGTGCTGTGCAGGGGTGGGGACCGGGGGCAGGGGTGGAGGCTCAGGCAGCCAACAGGCAGGCACAAAAGTCCCCTCAGCAGCCTCTTCCTTCTAGCATCGTGGAGGGGCTGCTGAGAGCCCCGTTTCTGGCTTTCTGAAGAGGAGCGGGGTTTCCCAGCTTGGAGGCCTCCGGCCCGCTGGCCCACACACGCCAGGACTTTCCACCACCCAGGCCTCAGGTCAAAGGTCTGGAGCGGGGCTAGAGTCAGGGAGGGGATGGTGCAGAGCGAGGGGGCCACACAGAGACTGGCCTCTCCCCCTGCTCGTCACAGCTGGACTCCCCACCACAGCCTCACCCGGGATGACTCTGAGTCCACGTTCAGAAAGGGTCGGACTAGGTCGAGCTGAGGCCAGCCCAGGTGCCAGTGCCTCGCCCCCGCCCACACTAGTTTCAGTGAACTGGGCCTCCCCAAGAGCCATAGGGAGATTTCATGACCTCCAGAAACACCCCACATGACTCTGGACACGTGGCTGTCGAAAGGCCTTTCTCAATGGGAGCCAGGTGGGGTCTCCTTGAGGTCCTACCCTCCCACTGCCTGGGCTCGTGGGGACTCATGGGGCCGCAGGGCAACGCGGGCAGCGCCTGCACGGATCCAGTGTTATGTGTCATCGTGGAGAGAAAACAGAAAATTGCAAAAGATGCACAGAACGTGATCCTCCTATGTAACAATTTAAAACAGAAAATCGCAATGTACCTGGGAAAGACACACACAGATAAAAGCAGTCCTTTGGACGGTTCCACAGCTGGGCGGCTCCCAGGGCTGACGTGTAACACCATCCGCATTTTACACATGACGACATGGGTACGAGTTTGGGGACCTCGCAGGGCACCCTGAGCTGGGTCCAGGCCCAGCAGCCTGGCTTTCAGGGATTTCTGATCCCGTCTTGCTGCTGCAGCATGGGCAGGGGGCACTGGATCTATAACGATTCCTTTTTAAGAAGAAGTGGTGATGGGGGAGCAGACTCCGGAGCGAAGCCTCAGCTTGCCCGTCTGACTTGGGATGGGGCTTTCCCGGCCTGGGCGAATTCTTTCACGATTTAAATGAAAGGTGGGCCAGGAGACAACGGGATGCTAGGAGCAGGCGGCGCGTCGGAGGCCCAGCTGCGGGCAACGACCAGACCTGCCCCTTCTGTCTCCTGTTTCCTGTGAGCTCAGCAGTCCGTCCAGTAGGAAATGGACACGAGCCAGTAGGAAATGGACACGAGCCAGTAGGAAATGGACACGAGCCAGTAGGAGATGGACACGAACCAGTAGGAAATGGA